GCCGGGGCGGGGGGAACCCCCAACAACACAGCAGCCCCAGCGGAGCAGGCACATCGCACACAGACCCCGCCCCGGCTCCTCTCCGTGGGCCCGGCCCCGCCGGCGGGAGAGGCCTCCCGCCGCACCCGTCCGCCGAGGGGGAGGGGCAAAAAAAAAAACCCGGACAGCCGGCACCGCAACAGCACCCACTAACGCATGCCCACCCCACCGCCGGCCGGAACCCGCGCTCACCGACGGCCCGAACGCGCCGCCCGCCCCGCCCCGTCCCGCACCTCGGCCTGCGGCCCGCGGCTGCGCGGCTCGCCAGGCTGCAACTTCGCCGAAATCAGCACCCAGGTCCTGGCCGGCGTCCGTCCGGAGGCTGTCCACGACCTGGGGCCCCTGGGCGGGCTGCTGGCCGCCGCCTGGGACCCGGCCCATGGGGCCCGGCCGACGGCCGCGGCCTTCCTCCACTGGTGCATCGCCGGCGGCCCGGGCGCCACCGCCAGTAGCCCGTGAGAATCGGCAGCCCGCTCCTCCCCCGTGTGTCATCCGTTGGCAGGAGGCTGTAAATAAAGCACATTCCCGGATGGTGTCTGTTCCCTGCCCCTGAAACAGGGGCCCTGGTGTTTTATTTTTATTTTTCTTACCAGGCTGCGAGAGCCTGGGGCGGGGCGCTTTTTTTCTGGCTTTTTTTCCATTGGGGCGAATGCGTGACGGCGAGATCTCTCCAGACACGTTGTGGGCCCCATCAAAGCCGGGCCCGGCACAAACGTGTTGCTCCCCTCCTCCACGGAGGTGAGGCCGCCACCGGCGCCGGGGGCCCCTTCGCGTCACCCCGGCGCCGGGCCCGGGGGGCGGGGGCGGGGGGGGCGGGGGGGGCGGGGGGGCCGGCGGCGGGCGTACGGGGTGCGGCCCGGCCGGGCCGCGATCTGGCCGGCCGAAGCCCGGCTCGCCCGGGGCCGCCCGGGGCCCCGGCAGTCCGCCGGGCCCGGGGCTGGCCGCCTCGAAGGTGGCGGCCACCGCCTCGGCATGCTTGTCGCGCGGGCCGGCCCCCTGGTACTTGGCGCGCAGGCCGTCCCCCCCCCCCCCCCCCCCCCCCCCCCGCTCCCCCGCCGAGCTGCCACTTCTCCGCCGCGCCATGGGCTCGCCGCGCCAGCCGGCGCCCGGCAAGGCAGCTGCCTCGTGCCCCTCGCCACCCTCACCACCGCCATGGGCAACCTCGCGGGTGTTCCGGCTCCTGCAGCTGGCCCTCCTGGTCTTGGGGCTGCTCGCTGGCTCGCCCGGCCGGGCGGCCCCCGAGGCCATCGGGCGTCTGGAAAGGCCACTGGCCGAGGCGCGCCTGGCCGCCGCGCCCGGGCAGGCCTACCTGCACGCGGCCCCGCTGCGGCTACACAATGCCCCGGACTTCCATGTGGCCGGGTATCTGGAACGCCGGCCGGCCCTCGCGGCGGTCCTCCGCCCGGCCGACCTTGCCACCGAGCTGTTCGAGCAGCACCCCGCCGTCAAGGCGCCCGCTGGCCCGGTCGATCCGCGCCTGGGGGCTCTCTTCCACATGGTCGCCCATCAGACGCTGGTCGACCCGGACATGGTGCCCCCCCCTTCGCCGGCGCCGCCGGAGCACGGGGTGCTGGTGGTGCCGACATCCGGCGCTCACCCGGCGTACCTTTCCCTGCGTGACACATCCATCTGGCGGGTGGCCAACGGCCCGACCGTCGGGGCGTCCGTGCATGCCGGGTACCGGGTCCTGGCGGCGCGGGGCTCCGACAGCCAATTCATCCATGTGCTGGTCCAGGCCGCGGGAGGGCTCACGCTTTTGGACTTCTCCGCTGCAGGGCTGACCGAAAGGCCGATCTCCCTGCCGGCGGAGGTGACCCAGCCGCAGCATCTCACCGCGCAGGTGTCCTTCTCCGGGGAATTCTACGTCCAGCATGGGGAGGACGTCTACTTTTTGCAGGGGGACGGGCCACTCACTCGGACGATCGCCGACTCGGCCCCGGCGGCCCTGGCCACGCGTCTGCTCACCACCCAGCCGAGCTTGTTGGACATGGTGTCCTTGGGGGCCGACCGGAAATTGGCAATCCGAACCGAACACCGGGTCGCCACCGGCGGCACGGTCTTCAGCCGCGCCATCCCGGAAGAAGTGAGCCTGACCGGGCGCTTTCTCAACCCCCCGGTTACGTCCCTGCCGGCGGATTCGCCCCAGCGATATCTCTACTACGACGACACGGCCCAGCCCGGGGGATCCCTCTGGCGGGTGGACATGGACGACGCCCTGGCCTGGACGCGGCTCATTGTGCCGGCCAGCCTGGCCCGGGCCGTCATCTCGCTGGTGGAGCTGGATCTGAGCCCGAGCCTGGGCGGCCGGCGCTGGTACCTGGTGGCCGGCGGCCGGGTGCTCCTGGACACCGCGGCCTTCTGTGCGGGCGACCCGTCGGTGGTGTGCGATGTGCCCGGGGGGGCTGCCACGGCCAACGGCTGGACCTGCGCCCCGGGGCGCGTCCTGTCGCCGCTGCTCGGGTCCGGGGCCCTGTGTGGCGGCTGCGCGGATGGCTGGCGCTCGGAGCCGGCTGACCAGTCCAATGAGGGTGCGTGCTTGCCCAGGCAGCCTGGGCCTCGGCCAGGGGGCTTGCCCGGGCCGGTGTCCCTCTCGCATGGCCGCATGCCATGGCGTACTCACATCCCTCGCCATGCGCCCGACTGGTGGCGGCCACCGTGCCGCCGCCGCCGCCGCCGCCGCCGGCACGTGCGCTTCCCGGGCGGCCCGGCCCCCGGCCAGACCGGTGCATCCCCTGCCCAATGGCCAAGTGCCAGGCGTGCACGGCCACCGAGTGCCTCCGATGCATGGACGGCTGGCTGCTGGGCCCCGATGGCTGTGTGGCCGCCTGCCCGGCGGCCACCACGCACCACGGCGACCGCTGCCTGCCCCACCACGGCCAGGCCGGCTTCCGCCTGACGCCGTACGCGGATCCCGGGCTCTCCGGCACATACTCCTGCGTGGCGGCCACCTGGCTGGTCCCCGGCGCCTCGGGCGGGGTGAGGCTCCGGACGCCGGGCTCGGGCCCGGGCCCGGATGGTGTGCTGCTCTTCGGCGCCGGAGCCCCGGCGGCGGCGGTGGCGGCGGCGTCCTCGTCGTCCTCGTCGGCGCCGCCGCCGCCGCCGCCGCCGCCGCCGCTGCTGCACCACCGGCTGCCCGGGCCCTGGCCAAGCGCCGAGCCACTGCCGGTGACTGCCCTGCCCGGCGGACACGCGCTGGCCCTGCTGCACGCGCAAGCCCGGCGGTATGTGGAATTTGCGCCGCTGCTCCTCGGCGCCGAGGTGCTCCTGCTGGGGCTCGCCTGCCTGGCCGATGGGCACCTTGCGAAGGTGACCTTCCGCTGTGTGCCGGAGCCCGACGGCCAGGCCTGCACGCCGGACGACCTGCCGCCGGAGGGGCTGGCCTCCGGCTGCACCGACCTCGCGCCCCTCGGGCCCGGGGCCGTGGTGGCCATGGCCGCCGAGGTGGCCACCCTGTGGCGGGTCCGGCCGTCGGACGGGCAGCTGGAGGCCCTGCCCCTGGGCAGCTGGGCCAGCATGCCGGGGCCGTTCCCGGCCGCGGGGCGCCCGCCGCTGGCGCTCCTGCGAGACTGGCCCTCGGGCCGGACGCGGCTGGCCCCGGTGCAGGCCCTGGCCGAGGGCGACCCGCGGGTGGCCGGCCCGCTGCCCGGCGATCCGCCGGCCTTCCCGCCGGATGGCCAGGACCCGGCCTCGGCCGGGGCGCTCTTTGCGCCGGTCACCCTGCGCGCCGGGCGCTCGGCCGCCGGGGCGGAGGTTGTCCTGTCGCGGGTGCGCGCCACCCCCGGGGCCGGCGAGCCGGCCGTGTGGGAGGCGCTCCACGCGCCGGCCGGCATCCTGCCCCAGGCCCGCACGGCCGGCCTGGCCACCGAGGCCCTGGTCCTGGCCCCGCTGCAAGTGGACCCGGGCCCGGACTTCCAAGTGCTGGCGGTGGATTTGCCGGGCGACGGGCTGAACGCCCACCCGAGCGCCCTGCTGCTGGTCACGCCGCAGGTGGTGGGCCTGGCGGCCCTGCACTGCCCGGCCGCCGGGGCCGCCTGCCGGCTGGGCCCGGCTCGCCTGATGCCCCCGCCGCCGGGGCTGCTCCGCGCGCAGGACGCCACGGCCGTGGCCGTGGGCCCGCCCGGGCAGGGGCTCCTGCTGCTGGCCCCGGCCACCGGGCCGGCCATCCTCCTGCATCTGTGGGAGGACCCCTGCCCCGAGGGGACCTTCCCCCCGGCGTGCACCCCCTGCCATGAGCTCTGCCTTGCCTGCCATGGCCCGGGCCGGGCCGACTGCACGGCCTGCCGGCTGGCCCTGCCCCTCGAGCCGGGGGTCTGCCTGGCCGACTGCCCGCCAGGCACGTGGGCCGACTCGGCTGCCGGGCTGTGCGCCTGCCACCCGGGCTGCCTGCGCTGCGCGCCTGCCCCATCCCCCGGCGCGTACGAGTGCCTCGAGTGCATCCCCGGCACGTCGCCCTCCCCGGGGAATGCCCTCCCCGGCCGGTGTCTTGCCTGCCATGCTACCTGCTCGGAATGCTCGGTCGCCGGCGACCCGGCCGCTTGCACACGCTGCTGGCCGGGGCTCCTGCTCCACGGCGCCCACTGCTTGGACGCCTGCCCGCCGGGGTTCTGGCCCGACGAGCAGGACACCTGCCAGCCCTGCACGGCCCACTGCCAGTCCTGCCTCGGGCCGACCGCCTGCGAGACATGCGCGCCGCAGTACTTCCCCCTCGGCGGCCAGTGTGCCCGGTGCGACGGGACCTGCGCCGCCTGCGACCGGGCCGATGCCTGCCTCGCCTGCCAGCCGGGGCTCATCTTCCTGCAGACCGACCCCCAGGCCGGGTCCCTGTGCGGCAGCATGTGCGCCCCGGGCGAGTACGCCGGGCCGGCCCGCTGCACGGGCTGCCACGCCTCGTGCAGCCTATGCGCCGGTGCCGCCCACCAGTGTCAGGTGTGCGCCGCGGGCCACCGGTGGTCCGGGGCCGCGCCGGCGCCCGGGGCCACCGGCACATGCGTCGCCTGCCCGCCCGGCTGCACCGGCTGCACCCCGAGCAAGTGCCTCGGCTGCGAGGAGGGCCTCTTCCTGACGCACGCGGGCGCATGTGTCGACAGCTGCCCGGGGGGCACCTTCGGCGACGCCGACACCGGGACCTGCCAGCTGTGCGATGTCAGCTGCCAGGAGTGCGCCGGGCCGACGGACGCCCACTGCTCGGCCTGCGCCCCGGGGCTGGACCCGGTCCCCGCGCCGGGGGGGCTGTGGACCTGCGCGCCGGCCTGCCCGGAGGGCCAATTCCGACCGGCCGGCGCCACCGACTGCCAAGCCTGCCATGAGGCCTGCTCCACTTGCAACGGCCCGACCAACATGGACTGCTGGCGGTGCGCCGAGGGGGTGCTGCAGGACCGCGAGTGCCGGCAGGCATGTGCCGCGGCTCATGTGGCCATGGCCGGGCGGTGCCTGCCCTGCCACGCCTCGTGCGAGTCGTGCACCGGGCTCCGGAGCACCGAGTGCGACCAGTGCCCGGGCGACCTGCTGGCCCTGCCGGCCGGCCAGTCGCCGGTGCGCTGTGTGGCCGCCTGCCCGGTGGGCTACCATGGCGATGGGTCCGGGTGCGCCGCCTGCCCGGCGCGCTGTGCCAGCTGCCCGGCCCAAGCGTCGGCCTGCTCCCTGTGCGAGCGGGGCTGGCTGCTGGCCGCGGCGGCCTGCGTGACCGACTGCCCGGCCGGGTCCTCGGCCCAGGGCGGCCTTTGCTCCACCTGCCATGGGAGCTGCTCCAGCTGCTACGGCCCCGGGCCGGACCACTGTCTCTCGTGCGCGGCGGCCACGCCGCTCCAGTGGGGCTCCAGCTGCCTGGGCGAATGCCCCGCCGGGACCTTCGACAGCGCCTCTGTCTGCACGCCCTGCCATGTCACCTGCGCCACCTGCACCGGGCCGCTGGACTCGCAGTGCATCACCTGCCCGGGAGACCGGGCGCTCCATGCGGGCGCCTGCCTGGCCGCCTGCCCGGCCGGGCATTTTGCCGAGCACCCCGCCGCCGACGGGGCCGTGTGCCGGCCATGCGCCGGCTCGTGTGGCACTTGCACCGGGCCGGCCGCTGACCAGTGCACCAGTTGCCCCGGCTCGGCGTTCCTGCATGGGGGCCGGTGCGTGGCCGCCTGCCCCGGCGGCACCTTCGCCTGCCGGACCAACGGGAGCTGCCAGCCCTGCGACACGGGCTGCCGCGAGTGCACCACGCTCACCAGCGTCGGCGGCCACTGCGCCGCCCTCTGCCACGCATGCCAGCATGACCGGGTCCACTCGCCCATGACCGGGCGCTGTGAGGCGGCATGCCCGCCCGGCGAGTATGACACCCTGGCCCGGGGGTGCGCCACCTGTGCCGGGCCCTGCCGGGGGTGCTTCGGCTCGGCGGACCATTGCACATCCTGCCTGGACCCGGCCCTGTGGCTGGAGCCCGGCACCGGGGCCTGCGTGGGTGTCTGCCCCGAGGGGCAGGGCGTCGCGGCCGAGTGGCCCGCCACCAGCCCCTGGCTCCCGGCCCGGGTGTGCCTCGCCTGCCCGGACGGGTGCGAGCGCTGTGCGGCCGACTCCCCGGCCGACCGGTGCGCCATCGGTCCCGACGGGCGCCTCTCCTGCCGGCCGGCCGACACATGCACTTGGTGCGGCCCCGGCCTGCTGCTCCACGCGGGGGCCTGTGTTTCGGACTGCCCGCCTGGCAACTTCGCCGACGGGCTGGCCTCGCCCGCGGCCTGCACCGCCTGCCATCCCGGCTGCAAGGAGTGCCATGGCCCCGGAGCGGGCGACTGCACTGGCAACTCGGCCGGCCGATCCTCCCTCGGCCTTGGTGCGTGCTTCGACTCTCGCCCCCGCTCCGCCGGGCAGCCCGCCGCACGGGGCGCCACACTGCCCGCCCGCCTACCCTGTCACCTAACCCGAGGCGCTTCCCGATGCAGCGCTCGGCCTCGGAGTCGGGCTCCTGCTGCTCTTGGTCCTGGTGGCGCTCGCCGCCCTGGTGCTTTGGCGGCGCCGGCCCGCGGTACGTCCTCCCCAGGCGCCTGTCGTCGGCTGTGCCATCACTAATGCCGCCGCCACTTCCCACGCATGACATCAGCGCTGGGCCTCCTCCGTCCCCTCTGCCGCCAAGGCTGCCGATGAAGGTACGACCTTTTTGGTGTGGGGCGGGCGGGCTCTGCCACGGGCGGGCTCTGCCACGGGCGGGCTCTGCCGCGGGCGGGCTCTCTCACACACACTGACACTCGCACACACTGACACTCGCACACACTGACACTCGCACACACACACACACACACACACACACACACACACACACACACACACACGGCTCCCTGCGACCATGCTACATGATCTGCCGCGCGGTGCCCAGATGCTACCATCCTCAACACCATCGTTGGTACGTGCTCCCCCTCACTCTGCCCCCCCCCCCCCTCTCGGCTCCTCGCCCCATCCTGGTGGATCCTGACACCACCATCGCCGAGCAGAGCTCTCACTACCGGGGTCGGTGCTGGTCAGCCTGGAGACGGACTTCCGCCGCGAGGGCCACGCACACCTCGGCGCCGGGACCCAGGGGACCGTGTATGTGGCGCAGGCGGTGGGCGTCGGGATCGCCGAGCGCCTGGGCTGCCCGGCCACCGTGGCCATCAAGTGCCTGGACCCCGGCCAGGCCCCGCACGCCCTGGCCATGTTCCAAAATGAGGTGTCCCTGCTGTGGTCCCTGCGCGAGCACCGGCACATCCTCCGGTTGTACGGCTACTCGGATGCCCCGCCGGCGCTGGTCCTGCACCGACACGACGCCGACCTGGACACCCTCTTGCGGTCGGAAATCGCGCTCGGCCCCCAGGACACCCTGGACATCATCCACCAGTGGGGTGCGCGCCATGCAGGCTCCCGCCACAAGGGGCCAACGAAATCACCCCCCGCACGCCGTCAAGGTTCTGACCCTCCCCCGCCGGCGGCCGTGCCCGGTGTGCCCAGCCGCCGGTGTCGAGATCATGCACGCCCATCGGCTGGCCCACGGCGACATCAAGCCCGGCAATGTCCTTGTCAGCCGGCTGCCCGGGGGCGCATGGCATGCGGCCGTCGGGGACCTGGGCACGGCGCGCGACCTGGCCCCCGGCCGGACATCGGCCCTGGTCCTGCGCGTGCCGGACATCAGCGCCATGACCATTCGCTATGCGGCGCCGGAGGTGCTGGCGGCCCACCAGCGCCGCCAGCCCCTGGCCACCGAGCACTGCCTCGCGGCCGACATCTACGCCGCGGCCATCATGCTCTGGGAGTGCCTCACGCGCACGAGCGCCTGGCCGGGTACGCGTGTGCCCCTTTCCGCCTCCTCTTCGTCCGATGCCCGCCTGGGCTGGTGAGCGGCCCCCGTCCCCGCCCCGTGTCCCGGCTCCCGGCCCTCCTCCGCTCCTGACCGCCCCCCCCCCCTCCCTCTCTCTCTCTCTCTCCGCCGGCATGCGCGTCCCTCCGCGACAGACGCCACGGTGGACCACATCACTTTGAGCGTCCGCAATGGTCACCGACCGGAGCTGGATCTGGCCCTGGCTCGCTTTTCCCCAGGCCCGATGGTCGATCGCCTGCGCCCCATGTGCGACCTGCTGGCCGTCGCCTGGCAGCAGGACCCCCACGCCAGGCCGGCGGCCGGGGCCTTCCGGCAAAGGTGTGCCATGTGCCACCAGTCGACGACCCTTCCTTGACATGCCCCGCCAGGGCTCTCGAGCGGCCGGAAGCTCGGCCCCGGGCCACCAGCACATATGGACAGCCGGCGAGACGCACATTTTTCCGCGCCCGAAAGAAATACACCACAGGACGGGATCGCGCGGGCATATGCCCTCCTCGCACACTCGAAGGAAGCCCCGGGAGTGGCTGGCCGCCGGGGCGACCCCCCCCCCCCCCCTCGGCACGACCAGCAAGCAGCACAACAGCCCCGGCGAGAAGTATCCACCTCCCGGGGCCGGGCGCGGCTTTGGCCGGAGACATGTGCGGCGCGAGGGCCGCATGGTTTGTGCAACTGCCCCGCCATTGCTTTTGGTGGTCCCAAAGGTCCCTGGTGGGATGCCTCGCATCGGGGAGTTATCTCGGGCGCTCTGGCTGCATGCCGTCTCTCGAACGAGAGTCCCCTGCCCAAGGGGGCCCATGCGCGCGTTTCATCCGCCCAGACGCGGCGGCGTGACGGCCCCCCCCCCCGGGGGCCGGGCCTGGCACCGCGTGAGCAGAGGCAGCCATAAATACGAATAACATATTCATATGCTCGCGAGGGGGGAAACATACGGCGGGCAGCTTTTTCGCAGCAGTGGGCACGTGGCTGGGTGCCGCGAACCAGGGCTGCTGCCAATCGTTGGCAGACGCCCGAATCCCATGCCCAGACACTTGAGGGCGGATCACACGAACAACAAGGCCCCCTCATCGCACGCCATACGGCCCCGCCCTGACGCTTGGCACATCTGACCCTGCCACTTGCCAACGATAGGGCCCCGCAGCGTTGGCGCATGGAATCCCGCGGGCCTGCCCCTTTCGCGCCACGTCCGCGGCGGCGGCGGCGGCGGCCTGTTCGTCCGGATACGCAGCTGCCCGCACGGCTGCCAGCGCCTGCGCTTGCCTGCGCCGAGGATGTTGCTCACCTCGGCTCGGTCCCGCCCCCCCC